CCAAAGGGCGTTGACAAAGGCGACCACTCCATCATCTACCCTGCGGCCCCGCGCAGTCGCGAGCGGGGGTGCCCGCTGGATGTGGACGCAGGCGCCCCTCCACCGGATCCGCATCAACTACAATACCTACTACTACTATTACTATTACTATTACTATTACTATTACTACTGCTGCTGCTACTACTACGACTACTCTCACACTTACTAATGCTAATACGAATAAGAGATTCACAATATTCAGACCATTTTTTTCTGGCAGGACTAACCGCGCGATGAAGAAAGCGACATGAATAATGACAATATTAAGCATACTGAGAAGGACCATGCCAATAACAATACCAAGGGAAAACATAAGAAACATTGCGCATCGAGGAGGATGAGTAGGAAGAGGGAGGAGGAGGCGGAGGAGGAGGATGAAGAAGACGAGGGAGATGATGAAGGCGATAACGACGACGATGATGATGACGATGATGATGCTCAAGCTGATGATGATGGTCGTGATGCTGATGTTGCTGATGGTGTTGCTGCTGATGAGGATGATGGGGATGCTGGTGATGATGACGAAGCTGATGATACTGCTGAAGATGATGACGCTGATGCTGATATGATTATGATGACGATGTTGATGATGCTGCTGATGATGGTGATGATGATGATTATGCTGATGATGGTTCTGATAATGCTGATAATGTCGATTATGCTCACGATGCTGCTGATGATGATGACGATGCTGCTGCTGATGATGCTGATGATGATGATGATGACGGTGATGCTGCTTAGGCTGATCATGATGCTTATGATTAAGCAGAGGGTGATGATGCTGATCAGGATGAAGCCACAGACGACGATGCTGATGTTGCTGATGCTGATGATGCTGATGGTGTTGATGCCAATGACTATGCTGATGATGATAATGATGATTATGTTGCTCACGATGATGTTGCTGCTGATGATGACGATGATGATGATTCTGGGGCTGATACTGCTGGTGCTGATGATGATGCTGATGATGCTGATCATGCTGCTGCTGATGATGATGCTGATGATGTTGAGGATGCTGATGTTGTTGATGATGGTGATGATGATCACGATGATGGTGATGCTGATGCTGATGATGCTGATGATACTGATGCTGCTGACACTGCTGATGATGCTGCTGACGCTGACGTTGATGATGAGGGTGAAGATGATACTGATGATGATGATGTTGATGATGATGATGATGATGATGGTGCTGATGCTGGCGACGATGATGCTGATGACGATCCTGATGATGATGCTGCTGATGTTGTTGATGATGCTGATACTGATGATGATGATCATGTTGATGCTGATGGTGATGCTGATGCTGAAGCTGATGGCGATTATGCTGATGCTGATGATGATGCTGATGCTGATGCTGCTGATGATGATGATGAGGATGATGCTCATGATGATGATGGTGATGATGATGATGGCGATGATGATGATGATGAGGGAGATGATGGTGATGGTGATGATGATGATGATGATGCTATGATGCTGATCATGTTGATGATGCTGCTGGCGATGCTGATTTCCATGATGATGATGCTGCTGATGCTGATGGTGATGTTGTTGTAGTTGTAGGTGTAGATGTGGTTGTGATTGTTGCTGCTGTTTTTGCTTTTGTTGTTGTTGGTGTTGGTGTTGTTGATGATGATGATGATGCTGATGATCACGATGATGATGGTGCTCATGCTGATGCTGATGAGGCTGATGATGATGCTGATGATGATGATGTTGATGATAATGAAGATGATGCTGATGATGATTATGATGCTGATGATGATTATGCTGATGATGATCATGATCATGATGATGATGATGACGATGGTGATGACGATGACGATGATGATGATGATGATGATGATGATGATGACGTGCCCTGGGGGGGGCTCCAACAGGTATCGTCATGCTCAGAGGAAGAGGATGCGGAGGAGGAGGAGGATGAGGAGGCGGGCGAAGAGGAGAAGGAGGAGGAGGAGGAGGATGAGGAGGAGGAGGGGGAGGAGGAAGAGGAGGATCATGAGGAGGAGGAGGAGGAGGAGGAGGAGGAGGAGGAGGAGGGGGGAGGAGGGGCGGGGGGGGGGGCGGAGGCGGAGGCGGAGGAGGAGGATGAGGCGGAGGAGGAGGAGGAGGCGGAGGCGAGGAGAATGAGGAGGAAACGGAGGAGGCGGAGGAGGAGAAGGAGGAGGAGGAGGACGAGAACGAGGTGGGGGAGGAGGAGAGAGGGGAGGGGCGGAGCGGATGAATATGAGAAGCACGAGGAGGGGAGGAGGCGGATGCGGATGGCGGAGGCGGAGGTGGGAGGAGGAGGAGGTCGCGGGCGAAAGAGGAGGAGGAGGAGGAGGCGGGCGAGGTGGTGGAGGCGGAGGCGGAGGAGGCGGAGAAGGAGGAAGAGGAGGAGAGAGGATGTGGATGATGATGCTGAGGAGGAGAAGGAGGAGGAGGATGAAGAGTAAGAGGCGGAGGTGGAGTAGGAGGAAGAGGAGGAGGAGGAGTAGGAGGAGGGGGAGGAGGAGAATGAGGAGGATGAGGAGGAGGATAGGAATAGGAGGGGGAGGAGGAGGACGAGGAGGAGGAGGGGGGGGAGGAGGTGGAGGGGGAGGAGGAGGCGGAGGAGGGGGAATAGGAGGAGGAGAAAGAGGAGGAAGGATGAGGAGGAGGATGAGAAGGAGGAGGGGAGAGGACGAGGAGGAGGATGAAAATGCGGAGGAGGAGCAGGGGGAGGATGAGGAGGACGACGATGCTGATGGTGCTGATGATGCTGATCATCATCATGATGCTGATGTTGATGCTGATGATGATGGAGATGATACGGATCAGGAGAAAGATGCGGAGGAGGGCGAGGAGGAGGATGGGGAGGAGGAATTTCCAGAACACGGAACCAGAAGAGGAAGACGAAAACGAAGGACTAAGCAACATACTAAGAGGCAACAGAACAATATGACGCCTACCACTACGAACACGAAGGAACTACACTATTAAGACGCATACCCAAAAAATAAGACGAATACGACTATTAATAGGGGTAATGCGCTTACTAATGCCAGCAATACTCTTAGTAATACGAGTAATACAAGTACGGATACTACGCCGAATATTATTACTACTGCATACAATAAGAAGCATGGGCTGATACGACGAATAAGGCGAGTATGAAGCGGATGAAGGAAACTACTTGGACAATTGGCAAGACACATACTATTGCTACTGATCAGAATTATGGTCGGCGAGCTCCCCCCAGGGGGAGATCACCAGAAAATAATAAAAGATCTCCCAAAGATATCCCCGCAGAGGTTTTGAAAAGTTATCGTTTTATTTTTTGTTGTTTTTTTCCTTTTTTTCCCCCGCCATTTCCTGTTCCGACCTCGCCCCTTCAGCCCGCCAGCCCGCCTTCTTGTCCTGACCCGAGTTCATCAATATGTCATGCGTTTCCTTACAGCGTACCCTTGACACCCACCCGCCCGTTGAGTGCGGCACTCCGTTGCTCGCGCGATGTGCGCCGTGCCCACAGCGCGCCAAACCGTCGATGTCATTTTCGCGCGCTCGCCTGCGGGCCCTCGAAGCCATATGTGCGGGCGAGACTGCCTTGCCACATCGTTATGCTAAAAACAGCAACGCGAGGTGGCACAGTGCGCGATTGTCCCCGTTGGTTTAAGGAAGACTGAATGTGCCAGATTTTGATCGGACTTTCTGGGTCGAGACTCCTGCCCCCCATCAGGACGCAGGTGGTTTAGAGCGAGTGTTCTTGACATGCCTCTGTCTCCCTTCGGGGGGGGGGGTGCAAGCTCCCACCCGCGCCCCCACACATCTTTCGCACTGTCTTGAAGGGCCTCGGCGGGTGCGTTCGGGGCCCATCGGGGAGGGGCGCGCTGGGACAATGCGGTCCTGATAAGGCCCCAGACAGCTAGCATGAGCTCAAAGATTAAGAGCGCACGTGAGTATTGTCCAAAGAAGTGCTTGCTGACCAAGCCCAGCGCCCCCCCCGAAAGAAGCGCATGATGACCACGATGATCCACCCACTGTGTACCCGAGAGGCCGAAGTTCTTGTTAAACTCCAGGGGCAACCTACTGCGGCTTGAATTCTACCAAATTTATTTCCCATGTCACCCCGAAACTCCAAAGAGGTTCCGCAAGGGCCCGATATAGCACCAAGATAAGCCAAGATGATACCAATACGGCCTCATGATCGCCCGAGGGCGCCCCAAGATCGCCCCAAGAGACGGCCATGGGTCCAGTTTGGTGACCCCCAGGTTGGCAATGTTAATCAGGACGCGCGCACGTGCCAGTTTGTTGGTAGATCTTCCCGCGGGAGGCATGACGACGCCCGAAGGCCACCTAGCAGCGGACCCCGCGCCCCCTCCCCCGAGAGGCCCTAAAGATGACCACTGGAGGCACCAAGAGGCCCAACTGGGACACCCAAGACGGTCCAAGAGACCCTCGGGTGGCACCAGCTCTTCTCAGTATATTTGTCATGCGCACTCATGCCGCCATCTTGCGGTGAAGAATCAATCATCCTGTCTGGCACGGCGGCTTCGCCAGCCTTGCAGTCATCTGCAGGCGCCCCGCGCCCGTGACCAAGACAAGCCACATGGGCATCGTCACTGGGTAGGCTGGTGGGGGGATCGCGGAGATTCTCTTCCACATGGTGGGCTGTGGGGGTGGTGCCGCTGGGCGTTGGTTACACGCGAAGCGCGTCTAAGATGATCGCAACTGGGCCCATACAACTCGCATCAACAAGCACGCCAAGGATAAACAACTCACATTACGGGTTGAACTCTGGCAGCAGCTGATCGGTAGCCTCTCTACCCCTGGCAACAGACAACGGCAAATGAGACTGACACCAACGATTTTTCAACCACCACGGAGAGCCGCTACAGCTCTCCACTCTCGGGCCGACGAGGGCGCAGCACGCGCGACGGCGCGACGCACTGAAACATGGCATGCCACTCTGCCGTGGCAGCGAGAATCTTGGCTCAGCCCATGGTCTGCAACTTCATTGCAGCCTGCATCCTCTTCACCAGCATCTCTGGCAAGCTGTTCTTCTCGATGCCCCACTTGGCGTGGGCGTTGATCTCATTCTTCGTGATGGAACGCAGTGCGGGCTTGTCCGTCTCCTGCGACAAGTAGGCCTCCATGAGTCTCTGGGCGGATAGAGTGATGCGAGCCGCCTCGATCGAACTCGCCATCGCGTTCCACTTCGGGTCCTCGGAGTCACTGCCGAAGACGTTGACGCCCTCGGCGTGCTTCTCCAGCTCGATCTCGGCCGCCCGAAGCAACCTCGTGGTCTCTGCGACGTCGCACTTCATCAAGGACTTCTGGCACGAGGTCACGAAAGCGTTCCATCCGTCAGCCTGGGGTGGCAAACTCTGAATCCACGACTCTGTTTCGTCCATCTTTGCTGCGGCACAGGACCCAAGGTTGGCGATCAACGTCGCCGCGCTATCTTTGAGCGCAGAGAAGTACGAGCTCCCCGCGTCAACCAACACGCGGCATGCAAGCCCCGCGAACTTATCACACCACTCGGCCGACTCCGCACTGATCGATGCCAACGCCTTCAGCGACCCCTGCAGGCCCCTGGCGTTACGAGACAAGCGGAGGGCTGTGTTCAACTCCAGGGCTTCGGATGCCACGAGGTGCGACTCGTTGTCGGGGTTGGGCCTCACCTGCTTCATCAGGTCGACGGTGAACGTGAGAGATGATGAAAGCTTCGCCAGCACCTGAGCTCTGTCGCCACCACCCTTGACTGTCGAGATCGCGCGAGTGACCTCAGCGGCGCGCTCGCAGAGCCCGAGCATGCGGTATGCGTCGATCAACGAGCGCTTCCCAAACTCATGGAATATTGTGGTCACCGTCTCAATCATGTGATCCGTCCCATCGAACTCGCCACCATCAAGCAATCCCGCCTTCTGACGCAGGATGGCAGCCAATTCATCCAGCAACGGCAACGACTGCATGACGTCCTCGCTGATTTTGCGGACCTTCTCCGAAACTGCAGCCGTGAGATCCAACCAGCCATCTGGCCGTCGGTGTAGGGAGGTTCCACTTTCACGCATCCATCTTCCACTTTGGGGGTGGTGGTGGTGGGGGTGGGGGAGGGTGGGCTTACCCCTCCCCCAACCCCCTCACCGTGGACCTGGGCAACGGGGTTCGCGATGCGCCATGGCGCCCAAGATGGCCCGATACGGCTCCAAGAGAGCTTCAGGAAGCCAAAGATAGTCTCCAAGATGGCCAAAGATATGCCTCAAGATGGCCTCGAACGCGCTCAAAGACACTCCACGACCACCCCGAGACGGCTTCAAGTGTCAAAAAGAGCTCCCCAGGGGTGCACCGAATGTGCCCAAATGCTTCAAACCACTTAAGGGGGATCCGTGTTTTTGGCGTTCTCTACATTTCGCTTCCAATGCCCAGCCGAGGCGTCAAGGTAGCTCCAAGATGGCCCAATGAAGACTCACGAGTGGCTTAGCAACGCCCTTGGACGGCGCCAAGAGCGCCCAATAGCCAATAGCGCTCCAAGAGCGGCCCGAGAGCGCTCCAAAAGGCGGCGCGGTGGCTCCCGAGGGGATGGGTGTGTGTGTGGGCAGTGTGTGTGTGTCGTGTGGGGTGGGGGGGGGGGGGAGGGGGGGAGGGGGGGGGGGGGGGGGGGGGGGGTTTTAATTTGCGTCCCCCCCCCCCCCCCCCTTTGTGATCGATGTCCTACTGGCCCCAAGAGACGTATTGGACCCTCCTCTTGGGCCCTGCGCGCGGGGCGGGCGGAGCGCCGCCCGCTCGCTCGCAGGGCCCAAGAGCCCACCAACACGCCTCAAGGGACATCCAAGGCGCCATCAGGAGGAAGAGGAGGAGGAGGAGGAGGAGGAGGCGGAGGAGGACGAGGACGAGGAGGAGGAGGAGGAGGAGGAGGATAACAGCTGGTGTGGGATTGGCTGGTGGGGCAACGCGAAGCGACAACGATTTGAATTCATTTTGGAATTCAGCATGTGCCCGCAGCCATCGATGTACGCGTCGTACTCTGGCGTCTCGGGGTACGTCCTCCAGCAGTTCTGGTAGAGCGTCTGCGCCGAGGTAAGGAAATCGGAGAAATCGCCGTCGTCCTTGGCACCCTTCGATGTCCTGACGAGCAGGTCGTAGAGAAGCTTCGTCTTTCGGTGGATCAGCTCGTCCAAGCCACCGCACACGAACTCGGGAAGCACCGCCGAGTACTGGTTGTTCCAGCCGAGCGCTCCATTCACACACGTGATGATCGCGTCGCAGGTGGTCTGCTCGCTCAGGTCGGAGAGCGCCTTCATGCGCATTTGCAGCTGAGGCCCGCGAGACATGTACTCATCGAAGTTCTTTGCCAGCATGTCCATCTTCTCGCTCAGGAACGGGTTCCTGTTCAGAGTGGTCCCAACATCGTGCAGCACCGATTGTACAACTGTCTTCTCAGCGGCCTTGTGCAACGCCATCGCGTCCTTCACGTACTCGAACTTCGTATCGACACCAACCTGGATGTTCACGATGGCACCGAATCCTCGAACCGAAACGTAGATCGAATCGCAAACTCCCATGGCCTCGTTGGAGATCTCCGCATCATCTGGCAAGTCCAAGAACTCCATCAACTTCGCGAAGGCAGCCATGGTGCTGTTGACGTTTGCCTCCGTCGTAGTCGTGATGATGTGACACAAGAACTTTTTGATGATATACTCCTTCAGAAACCCAGCCTGCAGGCTTCCAGGAAGGATTGGCGCCATCGGGTGGACCTTCGGATGCAGGACGTCGAAAATAGCCAGGCCAGATGCCTCACTGTGCGCATGCTGATCGCCCTTGAGTGGCCAAGGGGTAGCGCAAGACACGAGATCCTTCATGTCAGACTCACGGATGCACATGCTCGAAGTCGCCGCTTGAGAAAGCTCGACGGCCCTCTTCTCCACGAGAGCCAGGAAAACCTTTCCAGGAGGACTGACGTCGACCAAGATGAGGTCCGAAAATGCATCCCGAATTGTTGGCCAGCTCGTCTGTGGCACCTCCTTCGGGCTGAGCTTATTGAAGATCGTCACTCGCTTCATGTGCCTCCTCAACGCGTCGGTCGTCGTATCATCCTTGAACTTCAACTCGTACCTATTAGCGCACTCCGCAGCATGGTGCATATCTCGCCTGTCCGTGGTGCCGCCCAGCGCGTTCTCGAAAGTGAGCTTCTTGATCCAGTAGGTGGGGTTCTTGGATGCCCTGGTAGCCCCAGACTTGCCAACAATGCCACGAGCGGTGTCGGCAGTAGTAGTCGCGGCTGACCCACTGGCCACGGATGCAGAATCAGGCACGTCGTGCTCGTCGTCAACATCGGCGTCGGATTTGGCCTGGGCGACATCGAGAAACACAGTCATGTCTGCCTTCTTGGTGCCGTCAAAGAAGATCTGCACTCGCACTGATTTTTGCGGCGCTGGTGCGGGGTGCCCCCCGCCATCAGAGGCACCGCTCGATCTGCGGCTCCTCGGAGGAGACGGCGAAGGCCGAGGCGACCCCTGATGCCCGCTCTCATTCTTGACCCTGGGGCTGGCAGATGGGGGCAACATCGAACCTGCCGCTGGCGATCGACCTGCACCTCCACCGCAGCCACTGGCTCCATCACTTGGATCATCACCATCATCATCGCCAGGAGCATCGGCACCGTCTCGGCTGCCAGTGCGGCGCGCAGCCCTGAGCGCATCATTCTTTGCCCCGCGATCCTTGATCTCTGCCCGAGATATCGTACTGTTCTCCAAGAAGTCGCAGATGGCGTCGCTGTGAACGCCCATCGCGTCGTACTTACGGGCGTGGGCGATAGCTGAGTTCGCCAAGCCTTGGACGAGCTGCCCCGTCAGCGGCATGGTCACCCGCCTGCTGTCAACACTGGCTTGAATGGACACCTTCGCGCGCATCTCGGACCGCCCGTCGGAAAAGATATAGCCAGAATGCTCCGCGCCGTCAAGGGCCGTCAACTCGATGGGCTCGCCGATCTTCAGCTGCTTCGTGGTGCTGTTGCAGGTCTCCTTCCTGATCCTGTTGCTGGGGATCCACGCGCCATCGCGGTAAATCTCGATGACAACAGAGCTGGAATCCGACACCTCCATTGGCGTCATGGCAGCTGCGCACGCCTGAGTGTCTGGGTAATTCTTGATGGCGAGGTCGACGTTTTGCTTGTGCTCCGCGTCCGAGGCGTACATGGCCGCGTACTCGGCAAAGGTGATGAAGCGCTTGGCTGGGAGCCAGATGGTGTAGCACCGAAGGCACGCAGACTCTGACGCATCAGCTTTGGTCGGGAACGTCGAATCCTTCTCGTTGGCCTTGCAAATCAAACACACTCTGACACCACCACTGCGTGAAGCCGCAGCCGGGGCGCGCTCCTGCGCAGCAGAGGCTCCAACCTTCTGTCTCTTAGGCGCTTGATCTGTGTCGCCAGCGATGCCCTTTTTGCCCATCACTGCTCTCACGGGCGGTGGAGACTGCGCAGGAACACCTTCGCGAATGCGAAGCGCAGCTATAAGAACACAGGCTTTGAGCCAAAATGGCTGTGACCAGCTGTGGCGGGGGGGATGCGTGGGTGGCATTGAAGCGCCTGGGGTGCATCCGAACGGATCTTGGCCGCGCCCAAGATTGAACAACATCGATACCCGAAGACATCCTTGCGTTCAAACATTGCTGTAGGGATTCCGCAAGGCGCGTTGCGAAATCAAGAATTATCCTGGCGAATGACCAAACCATATGCAGGTGTGATTGCCGCTGTTTCCAACACCCGCCTGGCTGGCGCTCCCTTTTGGGCAATGCAACGTGGGGGGACGCGTGCACGAAGGGCGCGCGGGCGGTGCTGCTGGGCCCATTTGGGGGGCCCCCTAGCGGCAACGAGACGAGCGAGCCAACGGCGTGCCGAAGTGTGCTTCAATGGCCCGCGCGGGCCCAGCTCGACAACCCGCCTTCTAATTTTCCAATCACCCCTCCCCCGTCCCCCTCACCATGCGCGACACGTGCGAGGAGCGCCCGTCTGTGCACTGGGGCGATGGTACTGCGGCCGTCGGTGGAGCTCTCCATGGGGCCACGAAGCGCGCGAGGGGTGTGCCGCAAAAAGCGTGGATAACGCATGCAGGCGGTGGAAGGGGGACGTGAAAAACTAACTCTTGGACGGCGGTTGTGATAAGGGCGACGTAATGAGGATGAAGCGGAGGAGCAACGTTAAAAACTAACCCTGAGATGAGGTGGCATCCTTTGTGGGTGACTGCGGTGGCGCCGCAACGTTGTGCAATTTAAGTTGGTGCGAAACTTATAGCAGCAAAGCTATGCAAAACAGGTTGCAGAGAACACGAGGAAGAGGGGAAGGAGGAGGGCTCTGAAAGACAAGGCAATAAAACGCTGGCGTGGCCCAGGCCCTCCCCCCCCCCCCCCCCCCCCCTCCCCCGGACTCCTGACCTGGAAGCCCCAGACCGCTGACATCTCCTCTCAGGCTCCTCCTGGGGCCAACCCAGCGACTCGTGGGGTGGTGGGTGGGCCCGTGGGTGGTCTTTCGGGAGGGTGGGTGGGCCCGTGGGTAGCCTTTCGTGACTGGTGGCCTGTGGGTGGTCTTTCGTGGCTGGTGGTGGGCCAGTGGTTGCTGGGTGGTCTTTCGTGACTGGTGGGTTGTGGGTGGGTGGTGGGCGGGTGGTCGGTTGGTGGGTGGGTGCGTGGTGGGTGGTGCGTGGTGGGTGGGCTGGCGATGAGTTGTCTTTCGTGGCTGGTGGGTGGTGGGGGGTATTTCGTGGCTGGTGGGTGGTGGGTGAGCCCGTGGGCGGTCTTTCGTGGTTGGTGGGTGTGCCCGTGATGATGGTCTTGCGTGGCTGGTGGCTGGCGGGTTGTCTTTCGTGGCTGCGCTATACATGCGTGCGTATACATGCACAAACGCACGCACGCGTGTATGTGAATATGTAGAGATACATATCTCTATGGGACCAGGACCCCTACGAGTTACCCGTAACGGCGCCTGCGCGTGTCACGAAATTGTCCAACTTACGCTGGTTCGCACATGCGCCACACACGCGTGTGTATATATACATAAACACACGCGCGTATGTATGTGTATGAAAATATACATCTATATATGACACCAGGGCCTTACGAGTTATCACTAACGGCGCGCGCGTGTCTCACGACATTCTACAACTTTCGGTGGCTTGCGTAAGCGTTATACACGCGTGCGCACACATGTATAAACACGCGCGTGTGTATGTGTATATGCATGTATACATCTATCTGTGGGACCAGGGCCCCACGAGTTATCAGTAATGGCGCGCTCGTGTGGCACGAACTTGTCAAATTTTTACTCTGGCTTGCGCACGCGCTATACACGCGCGTGTATATATACACACAACCACACGCGCGTATGTTTGTGTATACATATATATATGCACCTACATATGACACCAGGGCCCTGCGAGTTACCAAAATGACGCGCGCGCGTGTCACGAAATTGTCCAACTTACGTTGGTTCGCGCATGCGTTATACACGCGTGTGTCTACATGTATGAACACACGCGCGTATGTATGTGTATATATACACATCAATTCTTCGGACCAGGGCCTTACGAGTTACCAGTAACGGCGCGTGCGTGTGTAACGAAATTGTCCAACTTACGCTGGTTCGCGCATGCGCCACACACGCGTGTGTATACATACCTAAACACACGCGCGTATGTATGTGTATATGTATACATACATCTGTCTATGGGACCAGGGCCTTACGAGTTACCAGTGACGGCGCGTGCGTGTGTCACGAAATTGTCCAACTATCGCTGGTTTGCGCACGCGCTATACTATGCACGCGTGTGTCTACGCACATAGACACACGCACGCATGTATGTGTGTGTATATAGGTACATCTATCTATGGGACCATGGCCGTACGAGTTACAGGTAACGGCGCGTGCGTGTGTCACGAAATCCCACCAGCCCTCTGGGCGCCGGTGGTCTAGAGCGCGTCCTCTTCCACCCCTCCTTCTTCTTCTTCGGGGAGGGTTTTACCCCTCCCCCTACGCCCTCCCCGCTGACCTGGACAGGGGGGTTCGCGAGGTGTCGGAGCGTCCAAGATCGACTCCTGGGAGGATCAAATTCAACACCTCTCACGAGGATCGCGGCTCCTGATGAAGGGGGGGGGCTAATTGAGGGGCCCCCATTCGTTGACCGATCTCCTCCAAGATGGCTCCAAGAGACGTCTTGGACCCCCTCTTGGGCCCTGCGCGCGAGCGGACGGAGCGCCGCCCGACCGCTCGCAAGGCCCAAGAGCCCGCCAAGGCATTCGATGATACCTGTGTTTGGCAAAATCTGTCGGGGTAAATCCACGGCGGCCCCCTATCTTGGCAAAGTCAGTCGGGGCAAATCCGCGGCGGCCGCTTATCTTGGCAGCATCTGTAGGGTTGGATTCGCGGCGGCTCCCTATCTTGGCGAAACCTGTCGGGGCAAATCCGCGGCGGCCCCTTGCGTTTGACAAAATCTGTCGGCGCAAATCCGCGGCGACCTCCATCTTGGCAAAATCTGTCGGGGCCATTCGCGGCTCGCAGAGCATACGCCTAAGGTAAACCCACAGTGACCTGAGATAAACCCGCGGGGGGGCCTAAGATAAACCCGCAGGGGCCTAAGCTAAACCCGCGGGGTGCTTAAGATAAACCAGCAGGGGCCTAAGATAAACCCACAGGGTGCCTAAGATAAACTCGCGGATGGCCTAAGATAAACGCGCGGCGTGCCTAATATAAACCCGCGAGTGGCCTGCGAGAAACCCGCGGTGGCCCAGGATAAAACCGCAGGGGGCAAAGATAAACCCGCAGGGGCCTAAGATAAACCCGCGAGGGGCCTAAGATAAATCTGCGGTGGCCTAAGATAAACCCGCGGGGCGCCTAAGATAAACCCGCGGGGCGGCTAAGATAAACCCGCAGGGGCCGAAGATGCACCAACAGGGGCCTGAGATAAACCCGCGGCGAGCCTAAGATAAACCCGCAACCCGCGGCGAGCCTAAGATAAACCCGAGGGGGGCCAAGATAAATCAGCGGGGGGCCTAAGATAAACCCGTGGGGGTGGTGTGTGTGTGTGTGTGTGTGTTGTGTGTGTGTGATGTTGGGTGTGTGTGTGTGTGTGTGTGTGTGTGTGTGTGTGTGTGTGTGGTGTGTGTTGTGTGTTGTGTGTGTGTGGTGTGTGTGTGTGTGTGTGTGTGTGTGTGTGTGTGTGTGTGTGTTTGTGTGTGTGTGTGTGTGTGTGTGTGTTTGTTTGTGTGTGGTGTGTGTGTTTGTGTGTGTGTGCTTGTGGGGTGGGGTGGTGGGGTGGGGTGGGGTGGGGGGTTGGTGGTGGGGGGGGGGGGGGGGGGGGGGGGGGGGGGGGCGTTGCCGGTGTGG